CAATTTGGATGACTCTCAAGATGTACCCAAATCCTATATACACAATTCAAGTCGTATTCCCTGCAGGTTAAGGAAGCACCCTTATGTTCTAAAAGAAAATGACTTAGAATGCATTTTTATTATATTAGTAAAACTTAGGTAGGTTGTTTTTGTGTGTGTGGTTGGGTGTTTGGTTTTTTTTTTAGATCTCACTTCCCATTCTTACAGAAAAATACTTCTAGAACAAGCTTACCTCGGTTTGTTTGCCTGTTCCCTAATATTCCTTTGTTATAGCAAGTAGGGGTAAATTAGCTCTGGATAAAAGGTAGCACATGCATAGTCTCAGCTTTTACAAAGTGGCTTTTTATCGGACTAATTAGGTTTCATCTATAATTTTGTTCACACCCATGAAAAAGGCTTCCAGAATATTTAGGTTTAACTGCTTGACAACTGGCATCAGCTATAGCGAAGTTTATCAATAATATAGTAAGCAATTAACACTGCACAAGTATTTTAAAAAAAATGGAAGTTTATTCATCTTTCAATGGCTCAAATAGCAAATAAAAGGACAGGAGAAGGCATCAGCCAAGACAAGCTTCATGTGTCCAGTGGCTTCATAACACCTCAGTTCCCAGTATACAGGTTCCAAAGCAAAGTCACAATGTTAGTGGTTAGACTCCCTGGCTAAATAGACCCAAATGAGTACACAGTAAGATGAAGACTGGCTTATTTGCCATAGTTACATGAGTAACTTTAATTCTGCACTTGGCAGCCTACTAAATGCACATACAAAATTCCTATTGATAAATATTTAACATGACAAATATAACTTCTAAGACTTGAGTCCCTAAAATGGCTGTTAGCATGAAAGTTAAATATTTGTTACCTAGTTTGCTTGAGCACATTTTAAACTGTCAGTTATAGGCTTACACATGTATAAAAAGTTAACAGTTTGTGGAATTGATCTAGCCTATCTTACCCCAGAGGAGTCCAAAACCCTCAAACATTCTGGTATATTTTTCGTTAAGATGCAGCATACTAACCGTGTGCTAGTATTCTTGCTGTTCTGAAGCAACTGAGGCAGTATGTTTTGTTTGGGGATTTTGGATGCACATGGTAAATGTTTCTGTATTGCAAAGCATGTTTGATTGTTTAATATCAACATTAACTAGAAAAAGTAGCTACAATGTTCCCATTTGAAAATCAACATAAAGTAGACTAAACAGTACAAAACCTGCAAAGAGCTTCAGCGTAACACACCCAGGTTCCCATAGCTGAGTATTAGGAACACAAAAGAAATTAACTGATGACACCAGAATTTCCCGGACAACATCTTAACTCAAAGCACATTAGCACTACTGAATCAGCTCCACCCCACCCAACTCCAGGGAGTTACAACCCAAGGAACACCTAGACAAAAATCTACTCGCAGAAGGGAAGTTTCAAGGTATCAGCACGGTAAATTTTAAACAACCATTCCAGCCTTAGATGTGCCATAGGCTTATGACTTCAGTCTTGTATGTATTCTGACCTTTTAGTTTTAAGATACCCTATTGTTTACCAAGTTACAGATGACCGAATGTGCTCTGTATTATTCACAATACCAGAGTATGGCACACATTTAAAGAACAGACACTGCTAGCAGACAGCTAGTTAGCGAAATCATTCACAATACCGCACTCCGCAGAGAGGGCAGCCTCGCCCCGATGCGCAGGGACAGTCTCCATGCAACAAAGTTGAAAATACACCCTTGATTAAGCAACCTGCTATGTTTAGGTTTTAAAATTAAGGCATATTCAAATGTTTCAATGTAAAAGATTACATTACTCTTCTAGGTTAATCAGGTAATGCAGAACCGCATATAATTTTCCCCAACGTAACTGTTCGCATATACATTATTCTTTTCTAATTTGCATAACTCCATGGCAAAACAACTGCATACCGCTTTGTTAGGTATCACGTTCACAACTGTAATTTTCAAGGCAACAAAAGACAAGATGAATTGACAATTACCAGTGATAAAAAAGTATGCTTTACAACAACCCACAAAGTAATACTTTCCCCCTCTGTTCACTATTAAAGAAAAGACTGCCCATGAAACACTACATTCAGAAGAAATGTGAGAAGGTAGGCAATTATGAAATGGACTGAACTTTGCTTCTCTTGAAGCCACATCGCTTTTTGTTGTTTGTTTTTTTTTCTTTTTCTTTTTCTCTCAGTGAATTTGACTTTCAGTGCAGCTCCAATTCATGCTTTTAGTGGTACATTACAATTTCCAACATGTTAGAGTAATTTCAGTCACTTGAGCCTTCAATGGCATGCTTATAAATTATGGTTTTTATTAGTATGGTCAGGGTAGGAAAGGAATTCAAGGTTTTGATTATAAAATGCAACATCTTTCTCTGATCCTCTTAGCTAGGCTTTTTCTTTTCTTCTTCCCATTCTTTTCTTTGCTGTCTTCCATTTTTCTGGCTCTAATTTCTCTCATTAAATCGAAAAACACCTAAAAAAAATGTAAGAACATAAATGCAAAAACAGTCACAGACATATGAGTTAATTTAAGCTATCACTAATGATACCCATTTGAGCTGTTTAGAATAAAGTCAATTATATGCAATCAGTTTGAGCAAACAAATATTAATCCAACAAATCTTTCACCGGTTTTGAAGGCCAAGTTGATATCATGCAATCTTGCTTCTTTCATGGTACCATAATGTTCCCCTGTCTTCTGATACTTGCTTATGAATCCTGTCAGACAATTTTCCATAAGGCTTGAAACAAGAGTCTCATCACCAGCCATGATTTTTTAAAACATGTTATCTCCATCTTACTGAGGAGACTCAAGGAAATCAGTTTACGTTTCGAGAATTTTCAGTGATGAGCTGTAAAGGCTGAAAAAGTGCAACATCCAATTCCAGAAACACATTAACGGAGCAGTAGCATACCCTGAACATTTCATGGTCAGTATGTCCCATGATGCAAGTCTAAACACAAAGTGACTAGAGAAAAAAAAACAACCAACAGTATTTTCTCTAAAGCAAAGTTATTCACACAACTACCTATAAAATTTTTTTTAGATCAGCTGATCTCAACTGTCATATTACAAACTCAAAGTACACATGAACTTCATTTTCATGAGGGGGTTTAGTAGGAAACAAAAATGACAGAGTTGGTGATATACCAATGACTTGTTCAAGAGAGATCCTACTGTCAGTTAAGGCTTTATGATTGGACTGCTTAAAGCTACTTTATTCATCTGAGAAGCAGACCTTGACGCACAGGAGGCTACAGCAACTAATCATTTCACCTTTATATTTTTATAGTAGGAAATCAGCTGAGCAATTCTAAGACTTTTCTCTCTCAGCAGATGTTCTCTAGATCTATGTCAGGGGACTTGATCCATTTCCATGAAAGACGGACAGCGCACGGCCTGAAAGGCTTCTCTACAGAGCTCAGTAGGGTTTTTTTTGCAATGACACTAATCTCATATTGACTGCAGGAAAAGCATCAACCTTCATTACACCGGATCCGAATTAAATCAATATAACTAAACATTTCTATCAAGAAATAAGACTGCCTTTAGATTTCTAAATGTGCACTAAGTTACTTGCTTGTACTTAAATCTGTGCTAATGGTAAGATGCAACTGTCAACTTGCTTAAGCACTGATCACGTACTACGGTATTTAGCTGTCTGGGGTACGTAACCTTCCGAGAAGATGCTTAGTGGGTCACCTTTGTCAAAGTGAGTGGAAGCTGACTGTGTTTGCCCCACCTGAGCAACCCCACTATTCTGGAATTCAGAGAAGCCAGATTTCTTATAGAATAGTAATTTAATTTTGCAAAACAAACCCTGTAACTTCAGAAGTAACTAAGAATACCCGGTATTTACTAGTGCCAACAAAGCCTCACTCATGGCCTGTCAAACCTCAATTCTACATGATACATGCTAATCTGGATCCATAACGCCACCAGCTCTAAAAAGAAACTTGGAGCTCTGTAGTAGCCTACTATCTGTGTGCAAAAGCTATCGATTAGAGAGCTATTAAAATATATATATATATATGTAGACATACACTTTTTTCCCCAGCTGCTAAATGATAGCGAAGTGGATTTTGAAGAGCTGGGAATTTCTGCATGTCTGTAATAGACAGGTGTTAACTGCAATCATGCACCAAAACTAAAAGATGTACTAGCTTTTATAACAACAAAAGAATCAGAGCTGTATTCAACAATGAGACTGAGTTCTGCTGCATTTAATTGACTTCATTTTCTCTACAGAACAGCATGAAGTTCTTACTGCAGCACTGAACAATCACTTTCTTCAGGAAGACAACTGACAGGAGACAATAGTCAAGTTTAAGTTCTGGCAAAAGAGAACTCGCATTACAGCTGTCACGCTGCAATTGACAGCTCATACGTACAGATTTACATTAGACAATTTTTCAATGTGTGATCAAGTCTGCCAATAGTCCTGAAAGGAAGGGTAGGCACATTGAACTGCTTATTTCTTTTGCCACACATCTGTAACTCTTGCAGTCTACAAGGCTGAGAGTTAGTCTCAAGTCTGTATTTCAGGAAGTTCTATCTTTTAGAGTTATAGCCGAAATACTTGCAACTAATCAATAATTTATCTTCTTGGAGACAAAGATTCTCTGTCTCTTACCTCATGACCTTCTGAACCAGGTTTTATCCCTCAAAACTCAGGAGGCACTTCTAGGCTGTTCAAAGCTTAAAAGGGTTCATCCATCCTTCATCGAAGCAACATACAACCAGGCATCTGGTTAAGTGAGGGTAGAGGGGGCTCCAACCCATCCCTTACCTGCTTTTGTAAGCTGTTTTACTCTGGTTGAGGATCAGACAGCATTCCTCACTGTTCAGAAGCAGATTGTCTTCTAGTTATAGAAAACGCAGTAAGAAGTCTAGGCCAAAACAGCTGCCTCAAGAAATTTTTAATGAAATAAAGTCTTGTAGGATGTCTTGTATGACGATTCCTTGCAGTTTAGGATGGGATACACTTGTTATGCCTAACATGTTCACTGTTCTACATGAAGTCACCTAGTCACGCGCTCCTTGCAAGCTAAGGGAGAAAAGTATTTGATTCAAATTCAACAAAAGTAATTGTTAAATAACGAACACATAGAGTGTGACCCATGGAAAAGAGGTATAAAGTAAAAACTGATGGAGAGATTCTTTGTATTAAGAGGTCGGTTATTACCTTGTCAACGTTAGCTCGTGTTTTTGCAGAAGTTTCCACATAGTTAACGTTCCACTGATCAGCTCTGTTTTTTGCTTCCTCTACAGAAACTTGCCTTTTATCTTCCAAATCTGATTTGTTACCAACTAGCAAAAAAGGAACATTCTCATCTTCTTTTACCCTTAAGATCTGCTCCCTGGAGAAAAAAAAAAAAAAAAAGAAAGGAAGGAAAAGAAAATTAAGCTTTGCATGAAGTACTATTCTTAGAACACAAAAAGAACTCAGACTAAATATTCTTCCATCTTACAGTGAAAACCCACTTATTCCTTTTATGGAACTTACATAACAGTAAAATCTTAAACCTCCTTATGACATTATATAGAATGAAGACAGAGACAGACAATCAGCCCTCCAGGAAGGAAGGAGGTACATCGGTAAGAAATGAAAAGAGTAGAACAGGGTTGGTTTAGGTGAGAATTTATATTAATAAGTCATTCCTTTTAATAAAGGTATTACTTCAGAGCATTTACGATTGTCTTTATAGTACTATTGGCGATTGCCATTTTTAAGCTACCCAAAATTCAGTTTCACACTTGATTTTTTCCCTGTGTCATTTTTAAAGCTGATAAAATGGTCTACAGCATACCAAGAGATAATCTCTTCCTTTCAGGAAACTCTCAAGTCAATTATATTCAGTCTCTGCAGAGATCATTCATTCAGTTACAAGTTGTACATACATCAGATTTTTAAGGACAGACCCCCTTCTGCTGTTTGAACTGCTAGGATGAAGGGTTTAAAGTTGTAAATAAGTACTCAGTACTACAAATGGTTTAGTACATAAGTCTTCAACATTTAAAAAAATAATGAAAGTTTTCTTCTAATTGGAAATGCATTAAAAGTAGCAGGAAGAACAGTTTTACCAGGAGAGGGATATTTCCTATTTTGTCTCAGAAAGGAATATAAAGTTAGTAGTGAAATGTAGCCCTTTGTCACAGAGCAATTTCTGAAAGATTGACAAAAAGCACAGAGAAACAAATTTCTTTTGCTGGCTGAGATGAAATCTATTGCCAGATTTAAAGTTGAATGGAGAGAAGCTGAAGAGAGTTAATTAATTGATATTCTAAAGGGCCTTGATTTGGTGTACGGCAGCATCCTCCCGCTGTTATAAAAAGCTCTGAATAGCATGCAGTCTCGTGGAGAGAGTCTACTCATAGGGCTGAGAAACTGCAGATAGCCCATAATTTTTTTTAAAATCAACAAATATGTATTTAAGGCAGCTTGTTAAACCACATTCATCTCTGAGGTGTAATTAAAGCAACATTCCTCCTCTCTGCAACAAATATCAGTGCAAATGTTTTGACAGGGTCTGCAGCTATCCAAAAGTAGTTTGACTACTCAGTGGATTACGAAAGGTGGCAAGAAAACGCAGTGTATCACTGCACTGTCTGTGTAAATAAGACTCCTGCTAAAAACCAGTAGCTTTCAACGCTAACTGTTCAGGTGACGTCAAATAATTTCATCCTGTAAAGAGTTAATCTAACAGCAAGCCAGATGACAATATTCTCCTTTGAGCCCTAAGGACTGATATCTCCTAAACAAGAAACAATTAATGATATGCCAGTTTAAAATCTAGAACTTAAAAAAAATAATCGTTAGAGCCACACCAATTCTACCACATTTTATAAAACTGCCTTTTGAATATTTATCAGTTTAGTCATTGCAGGTCTGCCTTCTATTGAAAAAAAAAAAATAAAAAAATATTTGGAGCAATGGCATTTCAGAGCACACCAGGAACCCCATCGAAGACACTGAATAGCAGTAAACACCTCTCCTGCTGGAGTTCTGCCATTCCAGCAGAACAAAATTCCATGGAAACCATCAAACATCCAAATTCTTCTTGTCACTTACTTTCATATCTGTCTCCTAAGTAGTATTCCCTCAGGCTGCTCAACAATGCCAAAGGTATTTTAACTGTACCTTCAAGAGATACAGGTTACTCTTACACAGAGCAGAAAGAATGTAATTTTTCTGAGTTACACTTTTAGCATTTAGGCTTCTACAGTTTCAAAGGCAACTTGAAAGGCACTTTCAGATTTGGATTGGGGGGGGGCTTTAATCTCTTCATTGAGGGGATTTTTTTTTCTTCCATTTTTGCTGTATCAGCCTGTATACTGTCAACACTCAACTTTGCTGGAAAAGTAGGACTTTTTCTAGAGCCATAGAAGATCATGTACTTTAAAGCATTAACAGGATTTTAAACAGATTTGAATAGGTCATTTTGCATTCTAGAGAAGCTCAATGATACAAAATAGTCCTCCCCAACTGACAATACCTAGCGTAAGCCTGCAAACCAATCAAGGGCTGCCCCTCCCTCCCCCTCAAAAAATATACACACACACACATATGGAGATACATATTTAAAAAAAAAAGAACACCAGAAGAGGAAAAAACTCACTTTTTTCCCCTCTCCATACCTCTTCCTCCTCTGTGACAGATCATGTGAAACACATTCTGATACTTAGTGCTAATTAAGTTGAACTGTGACAGCATCTCTGAGAAGCCTTATTTCAGTGGGATGCAGATAATTTCTTTTTATATTTGCTTCCTTACTTTTCTCTCAAAGGTTATTTCCTCTCCTATTTCACTACACTTTGAACCAGAAAAAAAAATTTCTGGTCTCTTGTCCTTTTTTTTTTAATATAGTGGTGAGTGATTTAAACAGGTTTTCTCTCTCAACCAAAATTAAACACCTGTAATATACTACTGCCTGTTTAATAGTCTCTTACCTTTATAAGGGTTTTAATATGCCTGAAAAGCATCTTTAAAAACCTTATCCTGTTAAATCTTTATTACACCAGAAAGATCCAGTTCCAAATTTTGTTTTTACCACGTTGTTCCCTATTAAGTAAAATACTGACTTTGATGGGAAGGGTGAATGCTGTGCAGAATTTTGGTCTTGTAAATTCAAAAATTTACATCAGTATCTTTTACAGAGAAAAATTCCATCCAAGCAAAACTGGACACATTTACAGCAGGCCTTTAGACAAAATGCAGAGCTATTACGGACTATTCAAAGATACTTCTCATTGCTGCTGTTCATAGAATCATCTTTAAGAGGCAGAAAGACTTGTGTGTTGATACTACGCATTTCACTCTCCCAGAATACAATGCACATACTCCACATCGCTTAAGGCTTTGCAGACAGACATCACCAGACGTGGTTCTTCTGCGCAGTTTTCAACTAGAATCTGGTCACATCATCTTTATAACTACGAAGTATTCTAGTATAAAACAGCTACAGCTAGTATAAAATGCTACAGCCGCCCTTTTGTTCCAGGTGCTGTTTCACAGGTTAAGAGAAACACAACGTAATCCTCTACATGAAGCAAGAACTAAAAGACAACAACTCTTAGGAATATGTGGTATTGTACACACATTACATGCAACCCTACAGTCTATAAGCAATTTTTCTCAGATCCATTACTTTGGATAGCAGTATGTCTACTCAGAAACACGGCTTTGCACAAGTGCCAAGCGACACTGATTTACAAAGGGCAGAAAGCCTTCTGAACATTGCTGTGTATCTGCTCTGTGGCAATAGCCTTTTTCGTATTCAGAAACACAGCAGCAAAGATATCCGAAGTGGTACAGATAGCAAAGGCATGGCTAGGCATCTGTCCAAAACATTATGTGACTACAGTAAGAGCTGTCATCTAATCTGGACTATCATAAGGATATTACAAAACAAACAAACAAAAAATCACTTCTAAGTATCTCACTGTAGTTAAAATAATTATCTCACTTTGTAACTTACCTGAAGTCTGCTGTCGCTGCAAAGGATTCCAGCTCTGTAATAGAGAAGACACAGAGAAAGCCTTCTCCACTTCGGAAGTAGTTGTCTCTAATTGCAGCATAGTCCTCCTGCCCTGCTGTGTCCAATATATCAATTTGCACTTCTTCCCCATCCAGAACCACCTTTTTCCTGTAGCTGTCTGCTTTGGTGGGCTCATAATCTTCAACAAACTAGGAAAAAAAAACAACACTTCACAATATAAAATCCTGCCTGTACAAGGCAAATGATTCTATTTGCACATAAGGATATAACAAACTACTTGTATGGTTACAGTAACTAATAAGTAAGCATATGTATTTAGGCTATGTGAAGGGCTCAAATGATTCACAGTCAAAGGAGGCTTTCCATCAGCCCAACCAGTTTATAGGTTTTTGCTTTCTTCAGCCACATTACAAAGAAATGATAGAAGTAACTGCAAAACATCAACGTCTGTGCACTACCCAAGCCTCTGCTTCTGGTCAAGCACATCTGGCTGCGTTCCATTACGCTATCAGGCAGTCCTGACTTTCAAAATTGATACTAAATATATTCAAAGGACACTGAAGCCTAACTTCTGCCTCTTAATCAAAAAGAATGACTTTCAATGGAAAAGTAAGGAAACAAGAAATGGATTTTCTTTCCTCTCTTCAACAGCAGCATAAAAGACATGGAAAAAATTGGTCATTTCAGGCATCATGCAAGTCACTTAAGTGAAGAAGCTTTGAGCTATAATACCTAAATAAGTTTTAACAGGTCGAGTGAACAGTGACAAAATATGACAGAGCATCTAATTGCTTCGAAGTCTGAAAAATGCCAAATTATACTTTCACAGGTATCTCTAGAGAGCAAATCACTAATCTCAAAAAATATTTTTGTTCAGTTTAATTACTGACTTTCATACCACATCATATACATTTAGATCCTTTCAGAAAACTACTGTACTAACGAATGCTTAACTAACACTATGTAGCAGGCATCTCCCGAGATAATTTCTAGTGCAGATTCTTACCTCATCATACATAAACTGTAGTGTTAAAGCAGATTTTCCTACACCGCCGCTCCCCACCATGATGACTTTGTGTAAAGCCAATGAATTCTGTCCTTTAGGCTTATTTGCTGCCATCTTTGGATTGGAGAAAATTCACAGGTGTAAAATGAAAAAAATCTAGAAGGAAAAAAAATACTGCTTCATTAGTTTTCTTTTCCTTCTCCCACATGCATTGTTTAAAGTGGATTTGTTTTAAATCCCTACATATCTAAGGACTTGATTTCAGTTCTGCTATCTTCAGTGAAAGCTATCTGCTTTTTCACTGGAAGCCATTCCACACGTTATACCGAGCTCATCTGTTTTGCAGCACGAGCAAAGAAAGTCTTCGCCATTTGGAAAGGGCACGAGGGGGTTCACAGCATCCAAGAGCAAAGATTTACATTTTTCTATGTAGTGTTTTCTTTTAGAGAGACAGTATTTGTCAAGAATTCTCGTTAGTTTACTAAGCAAGAATTGAAAAAAGGTAAGCCACAGTGAGTCAAAACCATACAAGAAAACATGAGGTATGACAGCTGCAGGGGAGAGAAACCAGACATTTGAAGGAATTTCCAGCTTAAACAGCAAGCACCAAGACCCAGCAGCAAGGATTAGCCAGTGTACTTTTTCAGAGAAAAGCTAGCAAACGTGTCACTTAAAACCTAAAAATACCCACTTAAAGTAAGTCAATCAGAAACTTCGTTTCATTCCCAACCTATCCCAACAGTAATAGACCAGCATGTGTGTTATATGAAGACAGAATATTTTGTCTGCTTGCACAGTTCTTAAGACACGGGAAAGTCCCTGCACAGCTCCAGAGATTTAAAGGTCAAAACAAGCTCTGATGTCCAAAAACCACGATGACATCTACATTACAGAAGATGTAAATACAAGAGACATCTATAGTAGCAACTAAGAACCAAACATAACTTAGATTTTGTTAATTAGAAAGCTCAAAAAGAGCACATTGACATGGCAGCGTGGTTTAGTTATATACAGAATTATCAGATAATAATACAGCGTAGTAACAAGACATCGTTACCTCATTACCTTTGCCCATCATGATCATCCAACAATCTCACACTAAAATTACATCCTCCTGCATAATTAATCACCCTTGTGCGCACCTTAATCGGAATGTGAAGCACGACAATTTTCTTAAGACTTTTATCAAAATCCCTGCTTGAAGACACGGACTACGGTTTTGCTAGCAGTGAGGCAGATTAGTACAAAAGCATGCTGACTGAAGCTTCATTAGAGATTAAGCCAATCCTTCCAGGAATTAAAATAAATAAATAAAAAGGTGTACTGATTTTGGCTGGGATAGAGTTAATTTTCTTCAGAATAGCTCACGTTGTGCCACATTTTGGATTTGTGATGCAAACAGTGATAACACAGCTGTTTTAGCTGTTAGTGAAGCAGTGCTTACACAGTGTCAAGGCCTTTTCTGGTTCTCACACTGCCCTGCCAGCGGTTGGGCTGGGGAGGGAAAAAGCCGTTGGGAGGGCCAGGGCTGGGAGAGCTGACCAAAGGGATATCCCATGCCTCAGCTTAGCAATCAAGGCTGGCAGGGAAGTTTGCCGGGGCTGCCCTTGCTCAGGGACTGGCTGGGCATTGGTCTGCTAACAGCAAACAGTTAAATATATATTTTTTTCCCATCACTTGTTTTTATTGGTTTTGTTTTTCTTCTTATTTTTTTTTTTAAACTTACTAAATTGTGATTATCTCAACCCATGAGCTTTCTTACTTTTACCCTTCTGATTCTCTCCGCCATCCCACTGGCAGGAGAGGAAAGTGAGCGAGCAGCTGCGTGGTGCTTACCTGCCTACCAAGGTTACCCACAACCTACGTGAAAAAACTCTCTGGATCACATCAGTACCACTACCCATTCTGCTCTCAAAGAATTCTGAAAATGCAATTGAAAATTAAGTCACTTAGATAATCTTTCTGGGGAAAACAATTTAAGTGAAATAAGCATGAGTAAGCTGCTGTACTAATTAAAGAGATACAGCAGAAAACTATAACATTATGTTCCAAGTTCTTTTATAAAGGAGATGGATGAGAACAACAACAAAAAAAACCACCACCAAAACCCAAAAAACCACCAAAACATTGCCATTTTGGCCATCATGACTTAAAAAGAACCACTGCTTTCTTTTTACTCAAGAGGGAGTATGAGAACATGAAAATAGCTCCAAGCCATATGTACATTTTCAACCTACTACACTGCACTTTGAACTACTCCACATTGGTTTGTCTCTGCACTTTTCTCTTAAAAGGGAAAACATATCCCGAAAGTCACACTTACCTGGTTTTAGTATGTATTTCGGACAAGTAATAGAAAGAAAATACCTCTGAATTTCAGTCATCAACTGACAACAGCTCGGTTCGCCAAGTTTAGATTACAACGCATACTCTGAGAAGCACCGGTACACCTGGATATGGCCTATACTAACCTCGCCAAGCAACAAACCAGACTATTCTTCTATAAGCACGTCAATACTGGAACATGTCCAAACGAATT